TGCCTCCACCACTCACCAAAACAAAAATGAAATGAAAATGAGAAAAGAAAAAAAGTGAAAAGCGGGAAACTACACGCTGACCAGGAGGCGAAAAGAAAAATGAAAAGCGGGAAACAATACGCCAAAAACAAAAAAAAAGAAAAGAAAAAAAAAGGGTGCGCGCTTATCGACGGCGGGCGCTTCGAGATATTCCCTCGCATCGATGCCCGCCGCCGCTACGCCCCTCGGGCGCGCTCTCTCGTTTTCTGGCGCGCTGTGAACATTTCGGTACGCGTGCCACTCTGCCCGCCCCCCCGCCCTCGATCGCCTCCATCCGCCGGCCCGCAACAAAACTTCACCCCCAAGTCCGACGCGGAGCGGACCATCAACCTCCTCCCGCGGCCAATGCTGCTTAAGGGGTAGGATATAGATATATGTATATAATTCGGTATTCTGTATATTATGTATTGTGTTTTTTTGTTCTATAGAATGTCTAACATAAAAGAAATACTAACAGCAAAGTGGATAACATCAGTACTTGGGTGTGAAAGCATTCAAAATTTTTCAAATTGACTAAGTTTCACAACTGATGTGCTGAACCAGGTAAATGCGGTTTTCTTTCAAACATCAAGTAAAGGGAGTATAATTATGAAATTCAATGCGATATTCAGAGTCTTTTCAGACATTAAAAAATTAGACAAGGAAATAGTCAAATTTGACAAATTGCGCCTCGATTCATTAAACCACCTCTACCTCTGAACCTCATTCTGCTGTGGTGTATTCTGTTGCGCACCAAGGGCGAAAAGAAGCAGTGTGGTGCTCTTTGTTTTCCTTTTTGGCTGGCAGTCAAAAATGTCCGTAGGGCCAAGCCCCCAAGAAAACATTTGCAGTGAACTTCTATGCGACAGTTTGCCTGGGAGAGGAACTGGTGGTTGAAAGTTTTGAAATTAGCTCCTTCGGGACATCCGTTAAAATTGGAACGATACAGAGTAAGAAGATTAGCCCTGCGCAAGGCTAAAACGCATC